TGGCAGAAATCGCCCACCCAGAGCTGCTCCTCCAGGGGGGAGTTGGTGAGCACCACCACCTGTGGGGGAGGGACACACCTGGCACACCTGGGCACGCACCTGGCACACCTGGGCATGCACCTGGCACACCTGGGCACGCACCTGGTACACCTGGGCATGCACCTGGCATACCTGGGCATGCACCTGGCACACCTGGGCACGCACCTGGTACACCTGGGCATGCACCTGGCACACCTGGGCATGCACCTGGCACACCTGGGCACGCACCTGGCACACCTGGGCATGCACCTGGCATACCTGGGCACGCACCTGGCACACCTGGGCACGCACCTGGCACACCTGGGCACGCACCTGGCATACCTGGGCACGCACCTGGCACACCTGGGCATGCACCTGGCATACCTGGGAATGCACCTGGCACACCTGGGCACGCACCTGGCACACCTGGGAACGCACCTGGTACACCTGGGCATGCACCTGGCACACCTGGGCACGCACCTGGTACACCTGGGCATGCACCTGGCACACCTGGGCACGCACCTGGTACACCTGGGCATGCACCTGGAACACCTGGGCATGCACCTGGCACACCTGGGAACGCACCTGGTACACCTGGGCATGCACCTGGTACACCTGGGAACGCACCTGGCACACCTGGGCACGCACCTGGCACACCTGGGCACGCACCTGGTACACCTGGGCATGCACCTGGCACACCTGGGCACGCACCTGGCACACCTGGGCATGCACCTGGCACACCTGGGAGCGCACCTGGCACACCTGGGCATGCACCTGGCACACCTGGGCATGCACCTGGCACACCTGGGAACGCACCTGGTACACCTGGGCATGCACCTGGCACACCTGGGAACGCACCTGGTACACCTGGGCATGCACCTGGCACACCTGGGCATGCACCTGGCACACCTGGGAACGCACCTGGCACACCTGGGAACGCACCTGGCACACAGCTGTGACACTCAGGCACCCACCTGGCTCACCTGGGCGCTCACCTGGCCACCCACCTGGGATACCTGGGCACCCACGTGGGTTACCTGGCTCACCTGGCCACCCACCTGGGACACCTAGAATACTGGGCACCCACCTGGCTCANGTCTGAGGTGTCACCCCCAGCCCCAGGTGGTCACCCCCAGCCCCAGGTGGTCACACCTAAGGGGTCTCACCTGTCCCCAGGTGGTCACACCTGTCTGAGGTGTCACCCCCAGCCCCAGGGGGTCACACCTGTCTGAGGTGTCCCCCCCCAGCCCCAGGGGTTCACCCCCAGCCCCAGGTGGTCACACCTGTCTGAGGTGTCCCCCCCCAGCCCCAGGTGGTCACCCCCAGCCCCAGGTGGGCACACCTGAGAGTTACACCTGTCTGAAATGTCACCCCCAGCCCCAGGTGACCACCCCCAGCCCCAGGTGAGCACACCTGTCTGAGGTGTCACCCCCAGCCCCAGGGGGTCACCCCCAGTCCCAGGTGGGCACACCTGAGAGTTTCACCTGTCTCCAGGTGGTCACACCTGTCTGAGGTGTCCCCCCCCAGCCCCAGGTGGGCACCTCCAGCCCCAGGTGGTCACACCTGTCTGAGGTGTCCCCCCCCAGCCCCAGGTGGTCACACCTGTCTGAGGTGTCACCCCCAGCCCCAGGTGACCCCACCTGTGCCTGTGTCTCACCTGGAAGGTGCCCAGCAGTTGCTGACTCAGCGGTTCCCGGCTGCTGCTCACGGCCACGTAGGAATTGAGCTCGGCCAAGCGCGGCAGCGTCGCCTCGGCCCGGCTGCGCCCCACGTCCTCCTCCCGCAGGTAAAACTGGCCAGAAACACCCCAAAATTATCCCCAAATTATCTCCAAATTATCCCCAAATTATCCCCAAAATATCTCCAAATTATCCCCAAATTATCCCCAAAATATCTCCAAAATTATCCCCAAAATATCCCCAAAATATCTCCAAAATAGCCCCAAAATATCTCCAAAATATCTCTAAAATATCCCCAAAATATCCCCAAAATATCCTCTAAATATCCCCAAAATATCCCAAAATTATCGCCAAAATATCCCCAAAATATCCTCACAACATCCCCAAAATATCCCCAAAATATCCCCAAAATATCTCCAAATTATCCCCAGAATATCCCCAAAATATCCCCAGAATATCCCCAGAATATTCCCAAATTATCCTCACAACATCTCCAGAATATCCTCAAAATATCCCCAAATTATCCCCAAAATGGCCCCAAAATATTCCCAAAAATGGCCCCCAAAAACCCCACTAAACCCCACTAAAACTGAATAAAACCCCAATAAATCCAAAAAAAACCCCAAAACCCCACAAAACCCCAATAAATCCCAATAAAACTGTATAAACCCCACTAAACCCCAATAAAACCCAATAAACCCAAATAAAACCCAAATAAAACCCCACTAAACACCAAAAAACCCCCAAAATAACCCCAAAAAACCCCAATAAATCCAAATAAAACCCCAACAAACCCCCAATAAAATTGAATAAAACCCCAATAAATCCCAATAAAACCCCAATAAACCCGAAAAAAACCCAACAAACCTCATTAAAACCCCAAAATAACCCCCAAAAAAACCCAATAAATCCAAATAAAACCCCAATAAATCCCAATAAAACCCCACTAAATCCCAATAAAACCCCAAAATAACCCCCAAAAAACCCCAAAAACCCCAATAAATCCCATTAAAACGCCACTAAACCCCAAAAAAAACCCAATAAACCCCACTAAACCCCAATAACCCCCAATAAAACCCCAATGAAATTGAATAAAACCCCACTAAACCCCAATAAAACCAAATAAGCCCCAATGAAACCCCAATAAATCCCAATAAAACCCCACTAAACCCAATAAACCCCAATAAAACCCCAATAAAACCCAATAAACCCCAATAAACCCCCAATAAAATTGAATAAAACCCCACTAAACCCCCAATAAAACCCCAATAAAATTGAATAAAACCCCACTAAACCCCAATAAAACCCAAATAAAACCCCAATAAACCCCCAAAATACCCCAATAAACCCAAATAAACCCCCAATAAAATTGAATAAAACCCCAATAAAACCCCACTAAACCCCAATAAACCCCAATAAAACCCCACTAAACCCAAATAAAACCCCAATAAACCCCACTAAACCCCCAATAAAATTGAATAAAACCCCAATAAACCCCAATAAAACCCTAATTAACCCCCATAAACCCCCAATAAAATTGAATAAAACCCCAATAAAACCCCACTAAACCCCAATAAACCCAAATAAACCCCAATAAACCCCCAATAAACCCCAATAAAATTGAATAAAGCCCCAATAAACCCCCAATAAATCCAAATAAAACCCCACTAACCCCCCCCAGACCCACCTGGGAGGCCAGGTCTCCCCAGGCCGCGGG